ATAGAAACAAATAGGAAATGAATTGATAAAAATTGACGTCCAAAGCATTTACTTTGTTTTGAACCATTTTATAACCTCTGAAAACATTTAATTCATAAGAAATAATATTTTAACATCTCATGAGTTGATGTGCACAATACATATGTTTACTTATTTCTTGATTGTTCTCCAACTGTCCAACAACCGTTCCCTGATCACTTATACGTCTTGGTATGAGTTATTCGCCGAGTCATTATGAAGCTGTCGAAACATATCGATTCCACTAGTGAATTTCGTTATCGATTTATGTCACACAGCAATCCCGAAAGATCTCTATTGACTGTAACTGAAGACAACATTGTTTGAAAGAATTCGACTTTGTTTTGTTTTTTCAAAATTATCGATCTTTTTAGGCCCGATATTTCAAAGACGCAGCAATGACAAAAATATTCCTCTTATGAATTGATAGTCCATGATGTTCACTTCAAAAATTTCGTTATCGTTTTCGAATCTCATGCTTCTTTTATTTTGTATAATTATCCTACAAATGGCTACTTCAGTAATCAACGGTGGGTAATGGGTGAAGAGTATCAACTGTTATAGAGGATTAAGCGTTTGAGAATATTAAAAATTTCAGTACCATTATTGCAGAAGATACTTGACAACTCATCAATTCTCAAACGTACTAATTTTGTGTATTCATATTGTTTCTACTAATCAAAATGAGATCTATATTTACTATGTTAACTAAATTGCTCATAGTTCAAAATACACCGCTTTCTATAAATTTATATAATGAATATATCTTCGTTATCATCATTTATTATGATTGAAATATATTTTAACTATCTGACTACATTTATTTTTATTTAAATAATCTATACAAAATGAATATTTATAAACATGGAAAATATGAATTAAAGTTTTGTGAGCGAACAAATGTTTTATGTGTAATTAGAGATTTTATTTTAGCACAATTGAGACGTGTCATATCATTGGTAAAATTATTTGTCACAACTACTAATTTTTTGTATTCAATGACGAGATTCGTTAAACGAGGTAAACGCGTTTTTCTGTCAGAAAGAAGCTGTATAACATAGTCAGTATGTACTTCCCGAATATTGAGTTCAAACAAATGCTTAAATGTAATTAATGTAGACAAATGCTGTTGCTCATTTGTTTGTGGTTCATAATTTACTATGGTTAATTTTTGCAGAAAAGGAAAGCCTTGAGAGATGATTTTAAATAATTTGTGTTCAAATGGAAGTCTATCAAGTAATAATACCATTCGAACTTTATTGAATCTACCACCTTGAAAACAGCTACTCATAAACAAAAAATCTTCGAAATAATATGGAAGAGAATAAATGTGACAGTTGCCCATACCATATGTGAGTTTCTCATCGGCACATATATTAACTGATTGAAATTCCCTTTTAATAAAACTATTCCGAATGTCATCATTCGATGGAACATTAGTTCGAATAAAATAATTATTAAGGTGAGTATGTATATGGAAGATAAATTTATTTAATCGTGGCATATATTTGAGAACTTCATCGTATAATTGATTACCATCGATATAAGCTGACCCAGTTCTTATTACTGAAAGATGCAGCATTAATTCTTCAAGATTTAACATTCGACGAAGTAATGGAACAACTTGTTTATCATAATAATATGTATACCAGTCTGTTGTTAATGAGAAACATTTCAATTTGACCAGTTGTTTCTAAAGAAAATGAGACAATCACGAGATTTCAAAGACAATTTTTTTTTAATATTCAATGTTCATCGATAATACTTACTTTATTATCTATCTCTGATGATGAACGAAGAATTCTCTTGATACGGATGATTAATGTAGATAAAGATTCAATGCATGCATTAAGAAGATAGAGACAATCATCGAAACTATTGAGATTTATTGTCAATTTCGTGAGTTTTGAAATTATATAACTTGTAAATGGAATGTTTAATGGTAAAATTGGTAGATATGTTCTTGAGGACTTGTGAAAAAAAGTCAAATCAATTAAACGTTTACAACAAAGTAGTACCAATTCAAATATACATGGGTCATTTCCATCGAATGATCCTGCTTTTTCAGAATAAATATCGACTGTAAGATGTGTAATTTGTTCAAGATGACGAAGTAAGGTATTATCTTAAATGTAAATGAAAGTATCACGGATCGATGAAATAAAGTAAAAATTCATGATCATACCTGATAAATGTCTTACGAATATATCTGATTGATAATTAACGAATGCTAGTGAATATAGTTGAGGATAATGAATAGCACCAAAAACATGTTTCATAGAAAATGTATCAACAGTTAGTTTGTTTACTATCTCATTAATTCGAGGTAAGATTTCTTCACGAATTCTATCGAGAACATGCATATTTACCCAAGAATTATGAATATCGGATTGTTTAGTGACAAAAACGAGATGATTAATTAAAAGAGGATCGAGTACTAGTCGATCAAATCGCTGATGTACACCTACCAATGAATAGAGCATATCGGTCATATTCAGTTTATTGAAAATGGCATGTAACATTTCGTCTGGTAGATCTAGTATATTAATAGCGTTGGTATCTGAAGCGGTCATATCTAATGATTATTCTTCACTGTAGCTATTCTCATGTTCTTCCAATCTGTATATATATATATATATATATATACAATTCTCACTGTCGTCCGTGAGAACAAGGTTCATATTGTTATATTATGTGATAATGAACGTCTGATGCTGTTTCTTTCTGCCTAAAATGTTTTTTTTTCATTCATAACGGAAAAAATGTGAACGGTCAATTTTTGATCATATAACTGCTTTCATCATACTGTATATCAGATGCATTTTTTTCAAGTAGTCTTATGTTTACACTCAGTTGAAATAATAATATAAAATCATCACGCATAAATTGTATTCATCTAAAGATTCGGCATATGTGCTATTTTTTATTTTGTTTGTCTATCTTCCATAGTTTTTTCAGTTGATAGTCCAAGTATTTGAAATGAACACAATGAATTTTCGTCAATACTCATAATACAAACGGCATTGTCAAATTTTCCAGAATAGTTTAATGCAGAAAATATTTTACTGATTGACGTTTCACAGAAAATTCATGAACACCTTTAACAACCTACAATTATTCAATAAAAATAGTTGTCATTTTTCTTTTTTCTTCAAATATAATTTCATGTTCTCAGCAAAGAAGATCAAGATTATCCGGTTTCAAAAATCGTGTAATACGGTTCCGCGTTAAATTTAGTATTTCATGTGCTTTATGTTTAATTAATTGAGTAGTATCTTCTTTAAGTGTTTATCTACCATTGGTTACTGGAGTGGCTATTTGTAGATCTTTTGAAAGAAATGTTTTACTCATTCATCAATTATTTTTTTGTGAGTATCTGATAAAACTGTACGAAGAGAATCTTTAATTTATTAGCATGATATTTCTGGATACGAAAAAAAAGTGCTACATTAAAATAAACAAGCATAATCATAATCGAAACATGTATGTAAAGTTTTTTTTTGTCAAAAAATGTCATTTTCTACATGGATAACCTATTCTTCATCATCACCTTTTGCACCTTCTACATTTGGTTCCCATAAAGTTGATTCCATGGAATGACCAAGAAAATTAGTAGCTTTTTCTTGAGAAACGTTCGATAAAACTCCCGTTAATTGCAAAAAATCATCACGTGATTCAGAACCCTTTTGTAATTCCTAAAAAGAATCAAAAGTAAAATAAAAAGCATAAGTTGCTTTTACCGTTGATGATGATTTCATGACTTCAATTAGACCTGAATCATCTGGATCTAAACGTTTTTGTTGTTTTTCCTAAGAAAACATTATATTTATTAATCTTTTTTATTAAAATAAATCTACCTTCTCGTTTTTTAAAGTAAGATCATCATTATTTTGTCGTGCATGTTGTTCAATGCATTCTTTAAATGCACTAAGTTCATGCAAAAACTCATGTTCATATTGTTTATCATTTGCCATTCTAAAAAAATCTTTCTTTTTCAATTAAAAACATAATCAATTTCACCGTTCAAAAAATGTTTGAACGCATTGAATTGGATCACTTTTTGAACTTTGAATTATTCTAATAATAGATTTGATAAACATTACTTGTTGAGCAAGATGTTCCATGAAAAAAAAATACTAAAAATATTCTTGTCTTTTTCCATAAACTACAGATAAAAAATGTTGTTTACTTCGTGCATTTCTTCATGAATACACCATCCGACCATGTAATTAACTGTTTCTTCAGAAACTAATTCGACATGATCTTCAAGAAATTTTTGTGCATCATGATAATGATGCTCATCATATTCTTTTATATTTGATTTATGTGTTGTAATAAACTCTTTATAGAAAAAAAAAGCCAAATGAAATGATTGGAATAATTATAGAAACGGCGAACGTAATGTATTACTTGTTCTTTTGTTTTTTCTTGTTCGTCGTCAGTGTATTCGCTGCTGTCTTCATCATCACCATCATCATCGCCATCGTTATTATCATCAGTCAAGTCAGCTTCGAAAAAACCTACGATCTAGATTATAGTATAGTAATTATATTCCACTTACCACTCTTTTCGCATCTTAATTGATATAGACGTTCAGATTCTTCATCAGTAAATTTTGAGATTATTTCAAGCTTTTGAACTTCTTGTTGATATCTTTTTTTTCTTTTTATTAAAGTTACTGTTTTGTCTTTAATTGCTATTTTTACTTCACTTTTAGCAGTCTGAACATTTGTTTCTTGTGCTTTTTCTAAACGTCGACCAGCGTTGACCTAAAAATTTTTGTTTATAACTTCGTAAAAATTTGAAGAATTTGTGCCTTACATTACGCAATAAACTATGCTCGAGGGTTGTTTTCTCCGCCATGTATGTGAAATAAATAAATGAATTTTACTATTCTTTTTCTCTCTATATTCGTGGTGACACGCCTTTTTCTTTTCTTTCCTATTCTTAGGCCACTATGTTAGTTCGTGCGCTTGTTTATACAGTGTTACTACACTTCTATCCTTCAACTTTATTTATAAGTATCATGATCCTAAAATTTTCACTCAAAACGATTGCTTCCTTTTCTCTCTTGAAATATTCGGCTGTCAAATACTAATTAGATTTCAAAGAAGATGAAAAATGATGACCTTGCTTTGACAAAATCTTCTGGAGTGTTCTTAAAATGCTGAGATTCTTACAAAACTTTAGTTCCAAAATCATTTGTTTAATTTTTCTGCAAAAACAGTTCACATAACTTTGTAGAGAAAGTCTATGCCTCGAAATTCTTTCGAATTGAGAAGTTCGAAATATGATGAATCAATCTGAATAGTTCTATGTACTATGAAGCAACATTCTGAGATTTTATTATAGTCCGAAATGAAGTAAACGTTTACTTGGGTCTCTTAAAGCAAAATTATCGAGTCGACGCAACTTTCCTGTCATATCTGAGTGACACGATTCGAAACAGATTGATGTTTTGCAACTTGATTTTCATGTGTGCTTGTTTGCGTCTTAATTAGTTCTCGTTCAACATCACCTCGTCAATCATAACGTGGTTTACCCAATGGTCGTCATCCACTAAATAAACTTCATCGAGAAAATCCAATTCCAAGTGCTGTTCTTGGCGTATTTGGATTATCACAATTTACGACTGAACGTGATCTTAAAGGTTTATTATCATCATTAAAATTCTATTAAAAAAAACAATAGTTTTATCTTTAGATTTATTTCATAAATTTAGTCGTGTGAAAGATGTTCAAATTGTAATTGATAAAAAAAAATAAATAAATCAAGAAGTTTTGGTTTTGTTTATTTTGACGAAGTTGAAAGTGCGACCCGAGTATGTATAAAACAAAAATGTACTTTCAAAAATTTATTCTTATAATCTTAGGCAAAAGAAGCACTTAATTCAGTTGAACTTGATCATCATCGTTTACGTATTAATTATTCAGTAACAAAACATGCACATACACTAAGTAATTATTTTAAATCTAGGCTTTTTTAATAACTTCTTCTTTTTCAATGAAAGCACCTGGCATATATATGGGTGTTCGTACAACATCTTATCTACGTTCAAATGGTCATGATTATCGTCACTCACCATCATCAGATAAGCAAACATATCATCATCGCCACGATTATTCATTGAGGTTTGCTTATAAGATTTAATTAATTTTGTTCATATGATAAATATTGTCTAGATCACATTCACGTAGTCGCAGTCGATCAAGATCTCGCCGTGGTGACGATCGACGTTGAAGTCTTGACTATGCATATGATTAATCTAAGTGGTAAGAAAGAAACTATTGAATTCGAAACCAAGATCACTTGCTCTTTATTATTATAGGTATATGAGATGAATCTCATGTGAGACTGTGTAGTCCACATTCTGTCTTCACTTTTTTTCTATGAAAAAAAAACCTATGAAAATTTTTCTTTTCTCTACGATTGTGTTTACTTATATGTTTTTTTTCTTATCTGTTTGTGTATGTGTTTCTACGCTACACTAATATCAATTACTGTTCTTGAATGACAAAATTCTCAAATTTGATTGTTTTTTTTTCTTCATTGTATGTGTATCAAGAAAAAGAAAGGAACACATTTAAACAAGAAATGAAGATCTATATTATAAAGACACAAGTATATTGAAGATTGTTCCCGAGAAGAAAAGAAATAAAAGAGTATTCCTAAGATGGATATCCGGATTGCTATAGATTGATGAAGAATTTTAAAGGACAAAATATGGAAAACGTTAGTCATTGATTATTTATATTTGATAGTCACTTTTGCAACATGTTTATAAGTAAAAATATACGCTATTTAATCAGTATCTATGAAAGAAAGAAATGTGCTATAAAAATTGGTGTGTTCTTTTGATCAAAGAACTTGGTGTTCATCGATTAATCATAAAGAATACAAACAGGTAATTACAAATTTTCGATAATATTGAAGGTATTTGTCGCTAGCAATGGTTTAATAAGCTTTAAATCGTTGAAATAGTTGCAAATCTGTACAAGTTAAATTGTGTCTAGGTTGATTGTTTGTTTAGAATACAAGATGTCAGCAAGCATGTTTTCAGCAAGTCGTTTTTTCAAGAGAAACGTTTCGAACATTTCTCGTACACGACCTTAATAAGACGTAATATGCTATTATATTTACAAAAGCTTCATAACACTCAAGAGAGGGCTATTTTCTTGCTCTTTCAACACATGAAATATTCTGCATTTAAATAAATGTTTAGTATTAAATATGTTGTCGATTAAATAAAAAATAAATATTTACCATTGACGTTGCTGCTCAATTCAAAATGTGAATGTTGTTTGCACAAGGAGAAAACAGCGATTTGTGAGTTTGGGTGAGTTAAGATGAGTTCGACGATGTGAGAAATCTCCAAAAATGAGTCAAAAATCATTGAAAACCAGAGAGAAGCACAGAGACTCACTCAAACTAATAGAAGATCGCTAAAATTCAATTGATTTTTGATGATTTTCTACTGATTTGGAGGTAATTTAAATCACTTGTTTCTTTCTTGTGTGTGCTCGATTCACGACGTAATTCGATAGTTGTGCAAGAAAATGCTTTACGTTATTCGTGTTTGAGCGTATAGCATCGTATAGATTCATGGTATACGATGATCAATTTTCGGCCCATTTTGTAGTAGGGGTCTGTATGTCTAAGCATAGGTGTAAAGATCAAACGGTGATGGTCTTGGTTTGATTTTAATTTTTCTGGTAGTGGACACCATTTCAAGAAAATAAACTAAAGGTTTTCATGGGCGACGAGCCTGAGACAATAGGAGCTTTCTCCAGTTCGAGAAAGATTTGGTTCTCAATTTTTGTAAAATTTAGCTATTCTTTTGACACAGATTTTCCCTGGCCGAAATGAATCTAAGATCATCGTTAGTCTATGCACACATATTTAGACTAGTGCAAAGTTTTACGTAAGATTGGTGATTGCCGTCACTGTTGTATCCCTATGTTGGAGCATACGATCGTGGGTGAGGCAGTGAGTAGAGTAGGTTATCAATTGCCCTGAATTGAGGTTCCCTGAACCAATCTCCAAATGAGTTTCCTATTTGTGGCTCCTGAATCAATAAAAAAAAACTTCACAGTGGTACCTATCATTTGAAGAACAAAATAGTTGGTTAAATTTGGCAGGTATTAAAGTTATTCAAATTCACTTTTACGCCAATGACGAGTACTGTCAGAGCTAGATATTAAACATTCAAACGGTGGCTTGTAGTTTTACCATATTGAAAAACAATATTCTGGTTGCTCAAATGAGTTGTTTCTCGCTGGATTTGAAGAGAAATCAATCAATTTTCAGAAGCAAGAGTCGTATTTCTCCCAATAGGAGTTCGAATTTGGAATAATTTAGTTTTATCATTCTTTAGTGACTTCCAAGGCGTATTATATGATTTTAGATCATGATTTACATTAGCAATTAATAAATAGGTATGTAATGAAACTTTCAGTTCGTCATCGTTATTAGTTTTCAAAACTTTTAATCTGTATCTAAACTGAAAAATGAAAATAAAATACTGTTCGATGGATATTCAAGTTGAAAGGGACTATGTAGTATTGTAACGATCATGATAATGAACAGTTTGAGATCAATACGGAAGGTCTATTGCTTGCGCTTCTCGGTCGTGTTTAAATTCGATCATTATCTTCAAAAGATCTGCGAAGAAATGATGTACAGAATAGCAGTGTCATTCTTAACGTTTATTTCACTTCCACTGGCCATGGTAACAGTAACTGTTTTGATTGTCGGAAAATTTTCTATTTAGTGGCATAAAATAGGTTAGTTTATATCCACTAGCTTTTTATCGTTGGATGGTAATCACCATGACTCAGCAGTTACATGGTAAATAGTAAAATTGAAAATCACTTCGGTAATCACTACCATATTCGAATTAAGTTACGATTACATAAAGAACAAACAAAATTTGCAATTTTGGTAATCTTCACTTGGATAGATATCCTATTCCTAGTGATAGATCAAAATAAGTTATCTATGATTTCTGATCGTTTATTTTTAGTAAACGTTTTCGACAACAAGTAAGATCTACAGCGCATAAGTTCGATAAATGTTTTATTTTACTAAAAAAGATTATAAATATACTTGATTCTATTGATTTTAGATAGTGTAAGTAAACGAAATAATGATGAGTCGTTCGCACTATAGGAATACTATAATTGGTAAAGAAATCATGGCATTTTGATTTACCATGGAATCTGTATGCTAAAAAACTAGTTGGGACCCTCGGTCAGATTGATCATCCCCATCAATATATACATGAAGATAGAAAAAATGTGAGAACAATCAATAAAAGTCTGATTCGTTGATGCTATCGAAATGACTTTTGCAGGGAGGGAACTTTGCTGTCCAACTATGAATTGAATTTGACATAAATAGAAGATTTCCTATTGATGTTCTCTATAAACCAAGAAAGCAAGATGAAAATGTCAGATCGAAGAGAAACGTTCCGAGAATGTTATTTATTCGTATACCTTTTGAGAATATTTTTGAAATTTTCAATGAGCTCTCTCTCGACGCTGAGAAAAATTCTTTCGCATTGGAGTTAGAGAATGGTGATAGATATTGCAACGTGTTATTTTACGTAGGCATTTACAATTGACCGGTTAGTGAATTATCGCGTCGAATACATTATGGAAATTCTATCAAAATTGTCCATAGAAATCGTCTATGGTATTGCAGTTATTAAAGAAAAAAGAATTGATTCGAATGTAGAACTGTTTTTCGAAGTGGTTTTCAGATAGGGTCGATTGGTGGATCGAACTTTCCCAAGCCCTAGCGTGTCAATAGAATTCAACCTTCATATTATCTTTCGATTGAGCTTTTGAAACAAAACCTTTTTGTAAAGTTATATGCAATTTGCAAAGAACTTTCTGATGCCATATATGAGAGATTTGTGTTGAAGAACACGTTGAATTACAAATGCCAATTCTATCACACTAAGTGACCTTTCTCGTCGAATGGAAAACTGTTTCATAAGTTAATCCAAGTGACCACAAATGGCCTCTTAAGTGTTTTGATTCTTTGAAAACTTACTCATTTGGTTCATCGCAACTAAAAGAGCGATCCGAAGCAGAAGAATCAATGAAGACATAGCAAGCAATTCGTCCTTGAAAATAAATATTGTTTGAACACGGGTAAGCTTTATGTCATAGACGATGAAGTAGACAAGGAAATGTTATATCTAAAAATGGTAGATGTACACATATCACATAACGATTCCATCTCAAATAATAGTCGAAAGCAAATACAAAATTTTAATACAAAGATGTTTCGTACCAGAGTTTCTGATCGACGGTATTGGATGAGATGACTCTTTCGTCGGTAACGTGGACTCTTACTCAAAGTGGTCTAGTGTCCTTGTTAAAACAAGCAAAAAGTGAGCAGCTCACTTGTTGAGAAATGACTGTCAGTTAATGGAATAGGTTAAGACAGAACAGCTCAGCAGAGGACTAGTTTCTTTTTATTCTTTCGTTGTTGAAATACAGTCCTTTAATATAACCAGGACAGACGATACACTGCTATTCTTCATACAGATACTTGAATCAATGAGACATTAGACAGCCGTCTGGTACGCTTACTCAACGTCTATGATAGCTGCTCGTCTTTGCGAAAATTATCCAGAACACTTTAATTATATAATCCGCTTGACAATTTCTCTGAAAAATGTTGATAAAGAATAACATGCATTTTCTGAAAAAAATCCAAAGTATGACTTCATCTTAAATTAAATCATGTTTTAGATGGAACAATTTCTTTGCGTATGCTTCAATGTATCTGTTCTTTTTTATGCGTACAACAATACTCCCGAATCTCTTGCATTTATTAAACATAGAATTTGAATTCATTTCAATGAGAAATTTTACAAAGCTTCGCACTTAACTGATGTTTCATTTTTGCATCGGACTGTTGGAATGGGTCCCATGTGAAAATAAAAAGACATTTAACGAAGCCATTCCTAAAATTAACGCAAAAACTTGCGTTTAAAGATAAATTAACGAAGTTTCACGAAAGAAAATCTTAAATTTTCGTGAACTTGCGTGAATTCAGAAAAATTCGTTAAAAATTAACGAATTTTCTTGCGTGATCCACTTTTTAACGGTTACTAGCGCGTTAGAGATGGCGCGTTAGAGATGCTTCAAAGTCACATTCGTTTTCACGAGTTAGGTAATTTAACGAATTTTCTTGAGTTTTTTCAGTTTTAACTAATTTAAACGTGTTAATTGTCTGCGAAGCTGCAGCATTTTCACGCGTTAAGTAATTTAACGAAGTTTCTTGAGTTTATTTCAATTTTAACTGATCTTAGCATATTATATGTAATCACAGGTTGATTTTTTTCTCTTAGTAAGGTAACTGATCATTATTTCTACTGCACTTCATTGTTTTTCCTCTCTCAGCACACAACGCAATCTTCGCGAAATCTTTATTTGAGAATATTTTTTTAGTAAAATGCAGTTTTTCAAAACAAAATACGGCCTAAAAGTATTTTGATTCGAAACGTATTTGACTGACACATTAAATACCATAAATCTTAGGAAAAGAATATCACAATGAAGTATTTCTCCCATTTAATATTTGGCTAAATTTAATTGAAAATTTTTTGTGAAGACGCTTCTGTTGAAAAACCCATCACAAAAATTAGGAAAAAATTGTCTAGCAGAATTATATAAAATATATCATCGTTAAGATACTATCTAGGGGTGTGGGTGTGTGGGTGTGGGTGTGGGCGTTGTTGAAGAGATTATACATCATCAACCACACTCACACCCTTCTGTACTTAATAGAAATAAAATAGAAAAATTCTCGTTTATTTCTGTATTTTATTCAAGGGTTAAATAATGGTACTGTGTTAAAAAGCGTCTGCAATAAAATTTTAGTTCTTGTTTCATGAATGAATACTTTGCTTGATTAAAACTTAATTGGAATTATTAGGATGGGTAGTTGCTGTTTTATTCATTGTTGACGTATTTCTAAGGTTCATCGTCTGTGCTTGTTTGAACGTCAATCTTCGTATCTGTGAAATATCTGACAGTTGTACCACGAACAGTTCCTGTTTTTACTTTTGGTCCGTTGCGCTCAAATACATATTGTCGTGCATTTTCAGCACTCCGTGACGACGTCGATCTATTTGTTTGCGAATGTTTATAGCCCGGATAACGATGACCTTTTCCTGGACAACTGAACTCCCGTTTCCCAATTAACAGATAACCGCCTGCCTCACTGGCATCGACTATGCCGTACACATATCCATGCCAAAATTTTCGACCCCCAACCTTCTGTTCCGGGTTGTAATCTTCGTGAGGCTTGTATACGAGTGTCAAAAGTATAAGATGACCAAACTTTTGCACTTTTGCAGCAGATGTAAAAAAGTTTCGTAACATGTCCGCTGTTTCATATTGAGTTGTATATGGAAAATTGAAATATATTCGATGAAATAGTTGACCTTTATAGTGCAAATGCAGTTTTGTTGCGTCGATTCCAAACTCAACTGATAAATTTGTTATCTTCTTGAAATTTTCCATACGAGTTTTGATTTCTTCACTCTCTTCACTAATTTCGTCATCGTCACTAGTTTCTTCATTGTCACTATCGTTATGAGCTTCATCATTCTTTTATAAATTTTCATATTTTTTGCTCAGTTCAGTAGCGACTATATCCTCGCCATTAAAAGGATGCGCTTGTAATAGTGCTTCTGTAAAAGAAAAGTTACCTTCGCCAACCAATAATCGTTTTTTTCTCGTTGTTGATTTTTTCGTAAGATCTGGCAAAGCATCACTCAAATCACTAACATTCAATGTTTGTTCGGTAGTAGATGCACGGTTATTATTGAATTCCATTATGCGATATAGACAAGCCGATGAATGTACCGAAGAAGACTGAAATGAGAATCTCGTTTGGTGAACGCGCACACAAAATAAAAGAGACGCAAAAACTACTTTTAACTGAAAAATATACGACAAAATGTGTAAGCCGACGAGTCAATGGGCAACGATGTCGAAGAAGTACATTTTTTTATCATTCCTTCGAGGTATGTTCAGATTTCCGAAAAAGTAAATTTCCGAAAATAACAAATTTCTGTCACACTATTGAAAGACACATAAACGTGCCAACAGAAATTTCCTTGAAACTTCCCAAATTGCCATTACGCGCAAAAGAAAATTATCAGAAAATACCATAATTCAAATCTCACCCAACAAAACATCCTGAGAATTTCTGAAATCAGCTTCACATACAAAAAGAAATTTCTATATTAATATCGTATAGGTTTAAGAATAAATATGTCAATAGATTTAAAGACCCTACCCTCAAGAATGACAAGAATTTCTAGTCATTTAGGTAATTACCTGGAAACTACGGGAATTACCGAAATGACTAGAAATTCCTGTCATTCTTGAGGGTGGGTCTTTAAATCTATATACATATGTATGTATTATTAAACCTATACAATATTAATATAGAAATTTTCAGGAAATTGCTTAATTTTGATTTTGGCTATTGGTGAATAATATTGGGATAATTACGAAAGTTTCTGATAATTTCTAGAACTTGAATTTTTCATCTCTATAGTTTCCGAAATATGCATATTTAGCTAGGAAATTCCCTTTTTTGGAAATATGGTCATTGCTGGTGAAGATTATGATAAAATAGATTATGCTCCATTCAAATCATGTCTTCTTATTGAACTTGAAAATGTACTAATAAAAATGTTAATGTTTCAAAAGGCAACGAAAGCTGTTGAATTTCTTTTAAAATTGTTTCTCGAATTTGTGAAGAAAGATATCGAACCCATATATTTTAATATTTTATAATCAGTGCAATATAATAAATTGATGTGAAAATAGCTTCTTATCTATTTCTTTTAGTTGAATAAAAAATGCAACTATATTTGTAGATTTGATTTATTGTTCTATCCGCTTGATATTTATATTCAATAAGTTATAATTTCTGATCTTTGCGAAGTTTCATTTTCATTGCAGTATGTAAGTGATCGATATCTTCATCATGTAGTTAGAATGTGTCTGTTGTCATTGGTGATGTCTCCTCTTCATATCTCTCTATGATCAATTTGTTTTAGAAAAATGAATACATTTTTCTAGCTTGAGCTATTCGAAATGAACGTTTTATCACACTATGGATTGCACTTGAAACTCACTGTTTACCTTTTTATTGAACAGCTTTGGCATAGGGCAAATATATTTTTTAACAAAAATATATGTCGAGCTATGACTGTCACCGATTACGGATAATTTTATTTGTTGCTTTTTTTAATGAAATTAAAACGAATAAAAATCGAGCTAAATAAAAAGTATTATCTCATCTGCTTGCGACGTAGACCATATGAGCGCAACCATAATCTGTATAAATTCAAGAGGATACTGTTTCTTGACGATGATGCACATGCGGATCACAGGCTTGAGAAAAATGACAAATTTCAATGAAACTCAAATCTATTTTGTAGTAATTAAAATGATGTTCCTGGCTCATGGTATGTCTCATTGAAAATGTTCTGTCTAATAATGAATAATTAAATTTTAAATTTCAGTAACAAGGATTCACATTTTTTCCTTTTATATCCTATTCTTTGAGTTCTATACTATACAATATGTCTTCAACGATTAAAACCCATCATTTTTTGTATATTTCATTTTTTCTATGAATGAGCAAACGCAGGCTACAAAACTCTTAGAAGAATTCATCAGTCCTTTTTTGTCAAGAGCAAGAAATGAAAAATACATGTACAACATCAAACAACTTTGGTTTCTTAAGCAAACAAAAAGAAAAAACCTCTATTTGTGATGTGACCATTAGAAAAGCAACGCAGTCAAGGACTAAAACGTTTCAAATAAATAATAAGTCAACAATGAATGTTTTAGATAGATGCGCATCATTCTATAATTCAATGGATTCGAGACAACTTCCAAGTTTTCCTTATCAACTGTCTCAATGAACGCGTGATTTAATGATAGTCTTAGTCTAGTTAATTGAACTTGATCGGAAATAACCTTAAAAAATCTTCAAATTCTGGAGTAGACACACATGTTCCGAAAAAACTTCAGTTTTCGACTTCCAACTCAATGAAATATTAAGTATAACTCTTTTCAATTTTCTTGGAAAGTTTCAATTTCTTATTTTTTTTAAACAAGAAAGAAAGAAAAGAAAACGTTGATTTTATTCTCTCGACAGGACACTTATTTCATTCAATTAACTACTTTTTAGAAGGTAAGCGAAAAAAATGAATTTTTTTTTAGTAAAAATGCAGAATGATCGAAGTAGTGACGAAGAAATGAGCTCATGCCGATTGGTAGTAATTTGAATTTTTGTTTTCAAAGTTTCGTTGGAGAAAAATGAGAAGTTTCTTCGTGTTTGAAAGTTGCCCAGCTGTCTTTCTCCACACGTTGGTGACTGTCGAATTTTCATTTATAGGAAAAGCTTATAAAATAACATCATTCACCTATTTGAAATGCTGATTTACATACACTAGTTACATATTAATTAAAGTAATATACAACCGGTCTATGACCATTTGTAAGTCGTTCTTATCAAGCACTAGAGAAAACATGCATCTTGAGATAATTAAAACTCAGGCATCTCTTTTCAGAACCAGTTTTTCAAAACTATCACTGTTGGAAAATACGAACTAAACTGAGACTTCACTTCACAGAGTTTCGTTACTCTTGAATCATTTCAATAAAAAGATACGTATATAGGATTTATGATTGACGATAAGGAGACAATGAAAGCATTGAGAAATATTTTAACTCGTTCATGCTTTTAGTCATTCTATTTCTCGATAAGATCGATATACGTTAGAGTTCGTTTTCTTGGGTGTTATTTTCTAGCCAATACTGTGTTTAAGACTATTGCATGCGATTTAGGTTCATAAATAATTTCTAAAGATTACCTGTAGCTGTAAATTTCGGTTGACTTCACCTATAACTCAACTGGCTTATTATAGTTAATTTGGTATTTACAGTGTTGTGATTCAACCAAACTTATAAGAAAAAAGACACTTATGCCAACACTTTTTGCAGAAAATAAATATAGGAAATTTTACGTTTTACAATAAGTCGAATAATCAACATTAAATGTTTTAGTCCCACAAGAATGCGTTGAAATATATGTTAGTAGCGGCGACCAAAATACTCTTCAAAACAGTATATAAATCATTATTTATATTGTTTCCATTTTCTAGGTAGATTTGTTTTATACACAAGTTGGATACTACGATCTAAATGGGTTCCAATTTGTGTCTTGAGGGTGCGGATGTGGATATAAATGAGCGCCTATAGTAAGTAGACTGATTTTGCGAGTGAAAGTGAGTGCATATATTGATGTGGATATTAAGTTATGTTCAATCATATCCACACCCTCATTCTGACCGTAATGGAATACATTATGAGGAGGGAAAACCCGTACGACAAATATTTCCACCAGTACAAAAACGATTTACAGCTGAAATCACAATTTCCTTGAATGAATGTTCGCTTTCTTTTTGTTTGAGTAGTGGTCTGCCTTTGATTCTCATCAGTTTGATGAAACAAAACAATTAAAATCATTTGAGAGCGTAGATGTGAACATGACTATGGGTTGAGAAGTAGATGTTATTCATTTCTTGTGCGAAGCTTTCAGGACCTCAAATATCTTATTTCATTAAATAGCAAAACATACTTGATATATCTACTGTATTCATACTAAGATTTAAAGGCTGTTCGAATGCGTTGACTTCAAATATGAACAATAAAATTGTTCAATATTATTTGAAAGATAAAACTTTAAAAAATACAAACCATGCTATAAAATAAAATTTGAATGATATTAACAAATCACTCGAAGACTCTTGGATTATTTGTACATTTTATGCTGACAGAAGAATTTTCAAGAAATATGCAGGAACTGTATTCAAAACTTATTAGACATTCTTTATCGGTGGATGATTCATACAAGAGTTGTCCGAACGCATAAATATTACAAATTTCGAGAAGGACGATAAAAACAAAAGAAATTTTTATTTTTAGACTTAACTGAATTTGTTTAACATTAGAACTATCAAAGCGACATTTTCATTATAACATTTGCAATGCCATTGACTCTATCAAATAGTTTGATTATTAACGCTCGATTACAATCAAAGAGAATATTGACTGAATGCAAGTGTACATAAACAAGACCAGTATCATAGTTAAAATGTAATACTTGTAAAATTTGACGATCAAAATTGGTTATTGAATTTAAACCACATTCTCTCAATAGTGATTTTCGATCATAACTTTTCCAATACTTGCTAATTGTCGGCTTTGCCTATAAGTAATATTCGACATAAAAAGAACACTTAAACAAAAATAAAGATTACCCAAATCCGATAAAGATAATCTGTCAACAAGCCTTTCCAATTCAAGCGAGCAGCAGTAAGTGAAACCATTTTATTAGTGTAGAATTCATTAGTTCACACTGCAAGTGAATGCTTCCATAAAATGAGTATATATATATTTTGATTACAAATATCATTAGCATATATTCGAAAATAATGTATTGAACTCTAAAACAAAACTCAACGCTTCGATTATGAAAGCAGATGATGAGCTGAGATTTTTACATCCTTAGAAATAAAGTTGATTTAAAATAATAAGTGATCGAAAAGTTTTTAGATAAGATTTTTGTTTTGCTGTTGATTCTTTAGAAAGCATTTCTAAGGAGTGAAAAACTGTGAGCTAATTCCAAAATTGTATCCTCTTTTCGAATATCAACATAGAACTTTTGTCTCAGTTTTTGTTCGATTAATGAGATATGAATGTCGATATTGGATGAGAATCAATGCGAACTATGACAGTCCTCCATA